TTTGGACGTAAAACAAAATGTTAATCAGAAATGTTTTATATGATAAACAAAATTTATATTTAAGCTTTTTTAAATGGGAAACACTTTTTCCTTCTGAAATATAAAAAATATTTTTTTAAATAATATTACTAACACTACTACTGCCGTTACCACTACCATTGTGGACATCACCATCCCTAACTACTACCACTACTGCAACCATGGGATTCCAACCAAACAAAAGAAGATTTTTTTTTTAAGACATTTTTTGAAAAATATTTTTTCTTATATATACATATATGCAGGGCCGGTCTTAAGATTTAGGGAGTCCAAGGCGAATTTCGAAAATGAGACCCTCTTACATTGAAAAAAAAGAATTTATAAATAAAACAATAAGTTACAACTTTTTTATTTGTTTATAGTCACAAAAAAATTTACTTGCACATATAATCATTAAAATTATAAATAAAAATTTACTTTCGTATATTAAGATAGGAATCAATCATTACAAATACTTAAAAAAAATAAAAATCTAATCTTGTTGCTTTTTTTTGAGCTCCATGTTCTGTTGGGCCTATAGTATTTGGACCTTTTTTTTTTATATCTAAAATACAAAATTATATTTGGGGGCTCCTATTTTTAGCCCAAATTTGGGGGCCCAAAGTGCAAGCCTCTCTTGCTTGCCCTCAGGGCTGCCCTGCATATATGGATAAATTACACTTTGTCTTCTTCATGTTTGGCTATTTTCCTACTTTGACTCTTAATTTTTAATTTTTTTTTTATTTTTTACTTAGGCACTTGATGTTTTAAGTTTTTCTCAATTTACTTTTAAAGCTAATTTACGTCTAAAATTAGGTAGAAAATGACAAATTGATAATCATGTGATGTAAAAATATTTTATTATATATAACTCATATTTCTTACACAAACTCAAACCTCAATACAATAATATATATTTTTTATATTATGTGGCAATGAACGTGATATTTTTTATTTAATTTTGAACAAAAAAGAACTTTAAAAGTAAACTAGGAAAAATTTAAAATGAAGGGCTAAAGTGAAAAAAAAAATTTAAGGCCAAAGTGGAAAAATGGTCATGCATAAAGGATTGTTTTGACAACTTAGCTAAAAATTGACTTTTGGCTTTTTTAGGTCACATTACTTCTCTATTTTTTTTTTATACTTTTATTTTTTTTTTAAAAAAGTAAAAAAAAAATTAAAATTCTCAAAACAAATCTAAAGTATAATTTACCCTATATATTGAAACAAATGGAGTGTTAGATTTCTATAATTTCTTTTTTCTTTTTTTCCTTTTTTTTTTTTGGTACAAAGGTTTTGCCAATTATGCTAGGCCAAATGATTTTGGATTTCATGTTTTTTTATTTGCCAGTTATTTGTCTTGCATTGCTTCACTAACTCACTTAAATCTAATCTGCCGTTTGGCAAGTGAGTTGGGTTTGGGGTAGGACTAAAAAATATAAAAAGATAAAATAGATTAAATAAATTAATAAGATAAAATGTCACATTCAAAACATAATTATTTTATTTTTTTCTCACAAAAAAAATAAAAAAAAAGTCAAACGAAACTAATTGGTGGTGTTTGGCAAGTGGTTTTGGGGCTAAAATAGCCACAAAAAACAAAATAGACTATTTTAGCCATAACAAACAAAACATCAAACTCATAATCATTACACTCTTCTCTCACAAAAAAAGTCAAAAAGTTCTTTCCAAACTAAACTTTTTAGCCTAAGTTAAAATAACAAAAAAAATAAAAAAGACAACCCACTTTTCAAACGGAAAAGTCAAGCTCAAAAAATTCTTACAGACGAATCCTAAACGCCATATAGTTAAGAACTATCTATACTTATTATCAATTGAATTTTTGTTATATTTCACAAAATTTTAACATGATATTAAACTTAATGTGTATCCGAGGTCTATTTCTATGGTTTCCACAAGAGGCAAATTTTTTTTTTTTTTTTTTTTTATCAACAAAATTTTTTTTTTATTGATGATAAAACATACTTTACATATGAAATTACATCAATAAAAGAGGAAGAGCACAAAGCATTATAATAAACTACCCAATTTCAACTAGATTAACACCGAATAAAAAACTCAATCATCTGCAAGCCCAACCACAAAAATTGGTGAAAAACCAAACCCAGCAAGAAAACCCCCCAATGAATCCATTCCTAATCTACCGTCTTTTGGGATCAACGTATGACCAAACACCCCTTTGAACTTTGGAACTCCACCCAGCAACCATCAGCAACAGTGACCAAAACACAAAACATAAAAAACACAACAAAACAGAAACAACCAAAAACCACCCCACCTGCAGCAGCAAAATCAACCGAGCAGAGCAAAAACAACCGCCGCAAAAACAGAACACACAAGCAGCAAAAGCAGCAAGAAACTCAGCAATAGCAACAAACCACCAGCAAAACAACAACTCAGTAGGGCCTGACACAAGAGGCAAAACTTAAAAGCATCTTCAATGTCAAATATTAAATTTGACATATCATTACCAAATTTTAATTATGTTAGAATATAAAAATGTTAAAATTGGACAATTTTGCTCCACTACTTACGGCTTTTTTAGCATTATCATCATCCCATCTTTTCAATCATGGTTGGATGGCTATAAAATACATCTAATTATTGATAGCAATATTCAAATTTCATAATATGTCAAAACTTGCACCGAATTTTGTACAAAAGATAGCAATATAAAAATTTAGCAACTTCAATTATAGTTCTATTAAAATACTCAATAGTTATAATATAATTATGACAGTTCAAATAACAAATAAATACCCATTAAAGCTCTTATATGGAGTTTTCAGAGCCATATAGTAAATATTTATTTTAAATGCACACAATCAAATACAATCCTCTTAGATTATAGGAGACACATTCAATGAATCTAATGGGAAACAGCAATGTTACATATCATAAAAAATCTTTCATAAAAATAATCATAAAAATTTTGTGACCCTTAGATTACACTTAGAATAAAGTACTACACACTAATCAAGCTAATCCAAGAATCATAAATTTTTCATGATCATTTTCATGAAAAAATTTTCATGATCTTTAACTTTTCCCAATATGAAATAGTAATGTTAGAAACACAGAAACCAAACAAGAGGTTTTGTCTAATTAAACTTACATAATGTGAAAGGGTTGTGTGCATCAAAATTATTCTATAGTAAAAGATTAGGAAAGGGTCCACGACACATGGAAATACTTTTCATACCAAAAATATAAAATAAAAAATAAAAAAATACAAAGAAGAATTAGTCAGTGATGAAATTTGTTAATTTCAAAATTCGCAACAAGTCAAAACACTAATTAACAACATTATTGTAAATGGCATCCCAACAACCCAAGTCTTGAATCCACACCGCGATTAACGTAAGTCACTTTCTATTGAAAAAAACCAAAAAAATAAAATAAAAATAATAATAATAAAAACACACATGATTAATGTAATAATGATGTAATCATAATTCTTGGATTCTCGCTCTCTCTCTCTCTCCTCCTCACATCGCGGGCTTTCGTAGCATTTCATCAAATTTCAAACGTTGAACGCATGAAGCAAGGTTTCAACATAAAATTATATGCATATATTGAAACCGAAAAAACCAAGAAGAGTATATGGTGTGGGTACTACACGTATATTGTATATCCCAAGAAGAAGATGATAGAGGTGCCTTTTTGGACTTGGACATAATTTTGAAAACTCATTTTTGACATTACATTGACGGAAATGCTATTTACTATATGCAGTTTTACAACAGAATTTATGTTACGGTTAAATTTTTTTTAGACTTATTTGTGTAGACTATTCATTAAAAAAATTAGATTCATCTGACAATCTTAGTCAAATGATTATATTATTATATTTTTGGTTCGTGAGGATAGACAATAAATATAACTTTAAAAATAGACTATTATTTTTTTTAATGTTTTTTTTATTTGAAATGGATAATTTTTTTTTAATGATGAAATCATAAAGTTATGGTTATTAAATCAATCCAATTATTTTATGAATGTTCTACAGATAAGGATCTAAAAGATGAATGTCACGATACTACATTAGAACATAATAAGCTCTGACTTGTGAATAATACTCTTGGGCAAAGTTTCTTTGAAAACTAATTTTTAAGGATGAGTTGTACTCTTATCATTTGCAGGCAGAGCTAACCATCATGTTACGTATAAGATCATGCACGTCTATGCGAGTATGGAATCATGTTAGCGTAGCTTGTGTGTATAATCCCACTTCAATACATAAAAGAGGCACACAATAGGCTTGGACTTGTAAATATGAATTTGTTTCCTTTAACAAACATGTTTGAAGCTAAAAATAATTTTGCAACTTATTATTCAAAATTTCGCAACTTATTATTCAAATATTTTTAAGCTAAAAATCTAAAATGATCAAACTTGAGTTTAACTCGAGTAGTTACCTTTCAATTTCTCTAGAAAGGGTTTGGGGTTCGACTTTACAATAAAAAATAAATTGAACATCCAATTATACTAACCTAAATTACTATCTCTTTATCAATCTATTAAAGGTTCGTCTAGAAATTGATTATTTTAATAACTTTTTAAATTCTTATAAAAAGACATGTAAAAAATTAAGAAAGTAATGTGACAAATTATAATAATTTTTTTGACTAAAATAACCTGCAAATGAGGCCTAAGTGCCAAAAAAAATCTAAACACTAAAAATCTCAAAAGTGTAGCTAAACTGTTGAAACAAAAGAAAAATGTCAATCTTGAATAGCAAGCAAAAGGGTAACATGCGCTTTTTGTTTTTGTCAAACAGCTTGCTCATTTTCAAAATTTGCAATCTTTCTTTGACCCCGTAATCCCTATCAACAACTACTACCCCTACTAACCATAAATCTATATGTCCTTTTCTCACACCAACCAACCAACAATCTCATATGTGTCTTTTTTTAACTCAGCATATAAAGAGGCACCAAAAGGATACTATATAATACAATACGCACCAAAATAATAACAAGAGAGAGCTCATTGTGTTTGCCTCACTAGAAACTATACACAAAATGGGCAACACATTAGGAGGGAAAAAGACCACAAAAGTTATGAAAATAAATGGAGAGACATTCAAGTTTAAAACACCAGTGCAAGCTGAGGAGGTACTAAAGGACCATCCAGGGCATGTTTTGTTAGAATCCGAGGCGGTGAAGCATTTTGGCATTCGAGCAAAGCCATTAGAGCAATGGCAAGAGCTGAGGCCAAAGAGGCTTTATTTTCTTGTGGAGTTGCCTGAGTTTCCTGAAGAGAAGAAGCCGAGAAGAGTTCGATCATTGGGGATAAACATGAGTGCTAAGGACCGGTTGGAGAGTTTGATGCTGTCGAGGAGGTCGGTTTCTGATCTGACGATCATGAAACCGACCAGCATTGTGATGGATGAGAGGAAAGAGAGGTCGGAGAACGGGGCGGTGAGGTTGAAATTAAGGGTTCCCAAGGCTGAGGTGGCTAGGATGATGATGGAGAGTAAAGATGAGGCTGAGGCGGCGGAGAAGATTTTGGGTCTTTGCATGGCAAACAAGGTGACTGGCGATGTCGGTGGTGGTGGTGGTGGTGGTGGTGCACCACCCATGTGCAGCTCAATGTTGCACCACCAACAAGTGCATTGCATGGGTGGTCATGAAAGAGTAGTCAAGGATGGTTGCAAGGCACGCAAGGTATATGTTTTTTTTCTGCTTAAGATATTGATCCATATTTCATGGTTATGTTCATTGTCCTTTTGGCATTCTGCTGCCATTACCAATCTTGAGCTCATTATTTTCCATGAAGAAGTTGTGAAGCATGAAACAAACCATAAAAATGCCAAAAGATGACAAGAATGACTACTGGTAGAATTCGAATCTCATTGATTATTAAAAAATAAGAAAGTTTTAGAACAAAAACTATCTTTGGATGTCCCACTAAATAGTCCCTTCCCCCCCTAAGGAGGTGAGAAGAATGACCACTGGTACTCTATCTGAAGTTATAATGCCTTTTAATTAACAAGAGCCATGCCACATATGTGGTGTTTGGAGTCCTTCATTTACCCATTTGGTAGGTCTGATTGATGCAGTTATCCTAATTAATTGTTCCCAATATAAATAAATAAAAAAATAAATAGAAAATCAGCAAAAAATCCTATCTCTAGACACCTTGAAATAAAATTGTAAAATAGTAATATTGGCAGAGCAAAGTCAGGATCTAAAAATGAAAGCATAATTAGTCTATGAAAATAAACGTTAACACACACATATATATATTAAATTTGAAAATGATGGAAAACAATTCACCAAAAAAGATATTATGAATTCATATCAAGTGTACATTCAAAACAATATATTTTTAGGCATTTTTCTCAACTTAAAATAATACTTAGGCCTCATTTGAAAAGTTAGCTATTTTAATAGATTATTTTAGCTTTTGATTATTTTAGTAGGCTAAAATATTTGTATTTAAAAAGAGAGTTAGATTTTTTTATAGTTGGATGTGATGTTTATAAGAGAAAAAGTGATATGATTATGAGTTTAATGTTACATTTTATTTTATTAACTATTTTAGCTTATTTTGTCTATTTTGTAGATTTTAGCCAAAAAAGGCAATTTTTGGTTTTCCAAACAAAACATTAATGTAGGCCTAACCACTATGATTCTTGTAAGGGTTTAGTCTCATAGGAAAATTGATGCTTTGAAAGGATAGGGAGGCCAAATCCTTTAAATACTAATCTAATAACTGGCTTTTGTGAATCAAAAAATAAAATAAATCGTTAGCGGCATTAAATATTTAAAAAAAAATCTATTTTTTTTTTTTTTTAGAAAAAATTGAGATCATGAAATGAGGATAAAAGTATACGATTGACTAAAAAATAAAGAAATAAAGAGAAATATAAACTTTGTTTTTCCAATTTTTGTGACCTACCTTAGACTTTTTCCTCATTTCACATGCATAACCAACAAAGTTAGGCACTTATTTTGACCATGAAAATTTATTGTCACAAGTATAATATGTTTCATGACTATTATGTTCAAATTGTGTCTCTTTCATTCATTCAAGGCAATATGTTTACATGTATTTGTCTACATATATGTTCTTATTTGGCCGAACAGAACCGACCAATTTATGTCCGAAAAGTAGAGAATCAATCTCCTACACTGCCCTCTACCGCGCTGCCCTTTAGGCTTCCAACCGTACGGCTTATTCCATCACTTTATTCTCCTATATACTTATTTATACAATTTTTTAATACATATTTTTTCATAAAAAGTCAAAAAGTTAATCCAAACATTCATATTTTTTCTCAACTTTTTAGTGTAAAAAGACAAAAAGTGCACTTATTTAGGACACCCCAAACAACCTTAAGTGTTATCTCTAAATGCTTTTACCTACCATTGTTTCTTGAAGGTGACATTTCTTCCCATGCATATGTGCTCACCAAACCATTCAACCCATACACAAATCACATAAAATTGCATTTTACTTTCGTTTTCTCATTTTCCTTTGTCGAACATTCCTACTAATACATTCCTATCAAAATTAAATAAATAAATCTTAAGAATACTATTCTTCCAAGACTATGGCCTAGTAAAACAACCGAAAAAACCTTGACTATATACACCAATCAAATTTTATCCCTACAGGCCATTTCATGATGTTCTTGAAACAGTAGATAATTTCAACTAGAGATGAATCAAGCTATGAAATTTAATTATTCCTTTATTGTCTCTCTTTTTCTCCTAAATGTGGTATGAGAGATTCGACTAAAAATATTCTTGTTCTGATCGTGTTTTTTTTGTTTTTTTGCTTTCAGAAGCGAGTTGGTTTTATGCCGATCAACGAAGGAGAAATCCAAGTAGCAGTGGCATCATAAAAGAAAACAGCACAAGTTTCCCAATAAATCGAAGTTATATATGCTCTATGATTTACTTCTTCTCCCTAAATTTACAAGTGGAGTTCTCTAGCAATATTTAGATTGTATTTGGATTTTGAAATTTTGAATAGGAGTTTGTGAAGCGAAAGGAAAAATGATAGAACAGTAATAAAAACTTAGCTTCTATTTTGATTATTTTTCTCTCTTTTTCTCTTTTCCCTCTACAAATTTCTTCTAAAATCCAAGATTCGAAACAAAACCTTCATTGACCCATGTTCCTTTTTGAATATATTTGGATGTATCAAAGGTGTTTTTGAGATGTTGAGAGTTAGAGATATAAAATAGCACTAGGTAGATTGTCAACAAGATGGTTCTCAAATGTAACTACTGTAAGCTCAATTTCTATGCAATCAAATATTTTTATTTTGAAAGAGAAAATTTTGGTTTAAAGTATTTAGACGGTTTTGTTAACAAGCAATATAGAAAGAAAGTGTTGGACCTGTTTAAATTGTAAATCATAAAGTATTATAACGCAGCGGGAAAAATATTTAGATCATACCTTTAGCTGATAGAACCTCGTGGGTAAATTACGTGCTTCCAGAATCCAAACAATGAATCCAGCAGTGGAGTGATACTACAAAATGAGTATCACCCACACAAGTCACAGTGCAAAATGGCTTAATCGTTGTTTAATGGGAGAGAGTCAGAGAGAGAGTTGGGGAAAAAAAGGTTATGGGTAAAAATCCCATAACGTATCTGATATATCAATATGTTATCTAAAATATATATTCAGATAAATAACCAATATCTATCTATCCATCTATCCATATCTATTGATATGATAGATATAGATATCTTGAATGGTTATCCAAATAAGTTTTGAATTCAAATTCAAATTCAAACTTACATGGATAAGGTTCAAAAGGTTCAGGTTCAAAAGGTTCAAAGGGTCATGCCACATAGGCGCCCAATTTCTAACATCTCTCACTCGCATATGAATTGGCCTGACACTGCCACATCTCTATCTCAATCTCTCCAAAAAATGAACAATCTCATACTAGCCAATGCACCGTGCGACTGCTGAGAACACCTGCATGTGGAAGCTCTATACTAGAAACTCAAAATGAGTCAGCATAGAGACATCAACCCAAAAAGAACAGAAATAATGTCTCATATACCCTAGATCCATCTAATTATACCGATCCAAAAAACATCTCTAATCCCTCAAAAAGAGCATATTTGACCCTCTCAATTCTTGCAATATATTTACACTCAATTCGCCTCTCATACAGAGCGATGTGAGTTGCCGGCAGTGAATATACAACAGTGGTATAATACTAGACGATCTTCCCTTTGCCCTCATGCCATTTAGTTTAGGATTGACCGCTTTTCTAGTGATGTCCCTTAAGGCCGAATCACACATGACCGCAAGCAACATACCAAAGTAGCAGAACATCAACCCCTTACCTTATGACATAGTCAAAAGTCACAAAATGGTACATAAATGAAAGTCATATCAATAATGACACGTAAGACTCACACAGTGAGGAAATAGGGATCCATTCTCTCACCTCATTACTCGGTCGCCAAGCACATGTAATATGAATACATGTTACGGTGGAGTAACTCTTTCAAAAGAGTGACGTCATACTCGATACACCGTACAGATATTAGTCTAGTCGCTTTCTAGCGCCTAACCCGAATTCTCTATTTGTTCGCATTTTAAGCGCCAAATGAGATCTCACATCTAGCTAATCATAATAGGCACAACATGGAAAGTGGGTACTAATATCCATGTTTGGTCCTTAACACGACCTCATCTTGGTTGTAACCAAGGCGACATAAATAGTGGATAATTTAAGCCTCTATTGGCTCCAAATAAAAAATAAACCACTAGTCTCATCCTTGCTCGCTCACAAGCGCCAAGGGCGATTACTCGTGTGAGTGAGCCAATCTTGCCTGCTGACGTCATCATCTGCTAATCATTATGACACAAATCATAATAGTGTCAACCTTCCATCATCTCACAACAAATAAGTGATCGATTTTAAAAAACACAACCACAGTCTGCGCAATTCTAGATTGCAAACATAAGCCTTACCAGCACCACTTGCGATAAGCATATACAACGGAATCCACCATTTGTGCCTCACATGAAGTGGTTCAAGATCACTACCTCTTGCACAATTACCTCTCTAAAGATATTTTGGTGACCAATTTGCGTTCATTCTTGATGCGCCCAACTAGCGCATTGAATCTTACAAGGAGCAAATTAATATACTACTAGTAAAGCATTCTATCCACAGTCTAATGAGTAAGGTCAATGTCTAAACAACTCAGTTGACCATTTACCAAAGATAACACTTATCATGCCGAATACGCCCACATAGCGTACTTTAAGCTCCCACAACAAAGAAAAGATTAAGGAATATAGGTCATCTGTTTCTCCCAAAGACAATCCGAGGATTCACTCAATAGCTAAGGCTCTGGCTTTTACCGATAGGTAAGTCAATGGATTTGCAATTTTGCATCTAGAATCGTTCTAGGATATTCCTTATGTAAGTCATTGAAGACAAAACATGAATTCTCCCAAAACAATCCCTAAGGATCGTACATCCGAGCATATAAATTACATCACCCATGTCCATTATATCTAAAACAGAGGACTGCCCACCCTAGGTGGCGACAACCCTATAAATTCTTGGCTCATAATGACTAAGTAAGGAAAAACTGCTTTTGAACCATTGATCATGCCTCAGTGGTCTTCATCGATCATCGTTGGCCTATCATGGCTTGACGAAATCTAAGAACCACTATTTGGATAACTGTTTTAGGCTGGAAAAGATTTATTAGAAATAACAACCTTTTTGCGCTCCTAACTTTTCCCCATAAAAACAGAAGGTAAATCCCTACGGATCTACTTATCCAATTCTCCAACGAGAAATTAGGCCACAACGTCTATAAATCAATGTTCCGAACTTATGTCAATCATAGCCTAAGTCGAAATAACTTCACTCCCCAGGAGGAAGTCTTCTCATGGTCTACACCTTCCTCAATGGTGCGACTTTTCGGTATCTAGCGAGCCCTATGCCTCAACAATGACTATCCAAATTACACATAACTTTATAACAGTTTCGCGTCATAATGGAAAGTCAACCAAATTATAGAAATGATTAATCCTCAAAGACTTTGTCTTAAACTGCGCAACATTGATCCACTTTCTAAAAACAGGGGACTAGAGTCTTTGGCATTATCCTAGGCTCTTTATTATCTTGCGGAGCAATCATGAATGTTTCCTTCTCAATCACCCAGTGATGACATGAAAAATTTTCATATTCGCTACCACGCAACTAAGAATGTGGAGTATTCTTCTCTAATGGAGTAATCTATTAGTAGGCACATCACTTCCACTGTCCCTAGGATATTGGAAATTTTTTTCCATTCTCAACTAGGCTACATAAAGCGCTATGCTTAGAATTCTCTATCTTATAGAGTTCCAAAAACTCTATTCACATCACCTTTACTAAGAAAACTTTATGTGACTTAGTTACACTCCCACAAAGCTGCTTACCTATATGCACATGACCCGGAGGATTTACATGACAACATACAATAATGCGCCTTGTGACCCTATGTATTTACAAGACAGCATACAATAATGCGCCATAGAACCCTAGGTCTTAACTTCGCAACCTTATGAGAAGTAAAACAAAGATAAGCTGCTTAATGGTTACAGATCACCCATAGATGGCTCTCCGCTAACCCATTACTCAAATGGAGTGTAAAATCGGATATGGAGGGCACTTAGTTAGGGATATAGGCAACAAACTAGTGCAATTCCCAATTGGGAAATATTTTGCGCCATTATCCACCTAACATTAACAATATTTAATTCCTTATCTCTACTACACCATTGTGTTGTTGAGTACTACGAAAAATCAATTTTCTAAGCATCCATTTCTCTTCACAGAGCTTTCTAAAAATAACTCAAATAGATACTCGCCACCTTGGTCAAAACTAAAAGCATAAAAGCTCTTATCTAATTGATCTCGACCTCATATATGCAATGTCAAAAATCATCTCAAAACTTTTGACTTAGGGGAGATTAAATAGTCTTGACTCAGATTCGTATCATAATTTATAAATGTGCCGAGATTGAGGCTTAGCTATCATACCCTTACACATATCTAGTCACAAATATCATAGTGGACTAAATGTGCCAATACAAATGACCTTCTATGGCTTTCCTACTTACTTGTGCGCAACCATTGCGAACAAAGTTATACATTCACATGAGAGCATGATGTTACAAGAGAGTGGGCCCAAGAGGGCCTACTCAAACCATCTTGTCATCATCTCGCGGAGGAAAAGCGGCGCGGCTCAGCGCCCGGCTCAGAGGCGGCTCAGCAAGCTGCTCCGTGAGCGGCTCAGCGCCGGCGTGCACGTGAAAATGTGGACAGCGCGCGTGGCAGCGCGTGAAAGCGTGTCTCAACGCGTATAGGCGCGTGGAGGCGCGTGCCCGCCGTTGACGGCATCATCTGGCGCGTGAGGCACAGGTGCCGCCTTCCGAGGTGTTTTCTGGTCTAATATCGGTATTCCCGGACTCCATTTTTCACAATAAAAACATTTATGGTCTCAAAAATAACGTTTAATGACCATAAAAATAAGGTGTTTTACACTCTCAATCTAATGAGAGTGGACATCTTCTTCTTTTATTAATATTCATGCATATATCATGTATATATATTTATATAAAAATATACACATATTTTAATGCATAAAAATAAGCACGAAAATACCCATATTGGCTCTGGTACCAATGTAAATCATAAAGTATTATAACGCAGTGGGAAAAACATTTAGATCATACCTTTAGCTGATAGAACCTTGTGGGTAAATCACGTGCTTCCAGAATCCGAACAACAAACCCAGCAGTGGAGTGATACTACAAAATGAGTATCACCCACACGAGTCACGGTACAAAATGGCTTGATCGTTGTTTAATGGGAGAGAGTCAGAGAGAGTGTCGGGGAAAAAAAAGTTATGGGTAAAAACCCCATAATGTATATGATATATCAATATGTTATCTAAAATATATATTCAGATAAATAACCAATATCTATCTATCCATCTATCCATATTTATTGATATGATAGATATAGATATCCTGAATGGTTATCCAAATAAGTTTTGAA